CAGTTTTTGGTTCAAGACGTTTAACTATTTAAATGCTTCCTCTTGGTCAGATAATACACAAACATTGTCTTCAGTTTCATTGTCATGCAGATGAAACTCATTTAACTTTAAAACTTTTGCCTCCATCACTTACCTTTTTGACTTTTTCAGGTGTCAGCTGTAGTCAGGAATCTGGCATTCACACTTGATCTTTGCCTCTTGAGCCCCACGCAAAAATATAATTGCCCGCATTATGCAATTTTATAAAGCGCGATGCTGAATACCCGATTCAAGCTTTTATAACATCATGCCTTGATTTCTGCGACTCTTTACTCTATGGGCTTCGACCAAAACTCTGTAACTAGACTACTTACTTACACCAGACCCTGGCAGCAATCACTCCTACACTTAAGTCTCTATATTGGTTGCATACAAAGTCATATATTCAATAAAAGATCTTGTTCCCGACATTTAAATCTTTAAATAATCTGGTTCCATCATACATCTCTGAACACCTCCCTTTATATACAATACCTTGCAAAAGTATTCAAACCCTTGACCAAGTTTCTAATTTTACTGAATTTCAAAACCTACATTGAAATTTAGTTCTCTGTGATATGTTTATTTCTAATCACTGAAACTCAAAATTAATTTTAATGTGATATTGTTTTCTGTTAGAAAATATTCTTAAGAAACATAAAAAATTGAAATCAGCATAAGTATTCAGTCCCTGTGTTGCAGAAGCTCTAAATTTACACATGTGAAAAACAATTGCCCTAACAAGGACACAGTTGCCATACAATTGGCCTCTATGTGGCAGTTATTTTAATGATTCACAGGTAATTTCAGGATAAAACCCCCAAAGTTAAGGGATCTTTATTCAGGTTTTGAATCTGATGGACAACTGTGAAGGAGCATTCCAAAGAAGTTAGAGATAAAGTAAAACAAATGCATACATTTGGAAAAGGGCACAAAACAATACCCAAGGGTTTGGATATCCCAGTGTGCACTGGTTGCTCAATTATCAGTAATTGGAAGCTACACTAAACCACCCAGACACTGCCTAGAATAGGACATCCCTCAAAATTCTGCAAGAACAGGAAGGTACAGAGGCTACAGAGTTCAGTAGCTGAGAGTGGAGTAAAGGTGCACCAGTCAACCATATCAAGAGCTCTGCATAACACCGGCCTGTATGTGAGGGTGTCACAAAAGAAGCCAAGCCTCAAAAAGAACCATGTGAAAGTATGTCTGGAGTTTGCCAAAAACATGATAGTGACCCAGTTGTTACGTGGGAAAATATTTTCTGGTGAGATAAGCCCAAGATAGAGCTTTTTAGCCAAAATTCAAAGCGATGTGTGGAGCAAATCTAACACTGTCCACACCTAAAAAAAAACCATAACTACAGTGAAGTATGGTGGTGGTAGCATCATGCTGTGGAGCTGCTTTTCATCAGCAGGGACTGGGCATCTTGTTAAAATAGAAGGAAGAATGGATGGTGCAAAATACAGGGAAATACTGCAAGAGAACCTGTTTCAGTCTGCTAAAAAACTGAAGTTTGGGAGAAAGTTAATCTTTCATCAGGACAGTGATCCCAAACACAACCAAATTAACATTGGAGTGGCTCAAGAACAAAAAGGTGAATGTCCTACAATGGCCCAGTCAAAGCCCTGATCTCAATCCATTTGAGAATCCGTGACACTATTTAAGAACTGTGGTGCACAAGCGTCATCCGACTAACCTGAACAACCTTGAGCAAATCTGCTTGGAAGAATGGGCTAAAATCACTCCTGAACAGTGTGCAAAGCTGGTATATACTTACCCCAAAAGACTGTTATTGCTGCAAAAGGTGGCTCTACAAAATATTAAAATGTGAAGATTGAATACTTATGCAAACAGCATATTTCAGTTTTTTTTTCTTAATATTTTCTAACATAGAACAATGTCACATTAAAATAAGTTGGAGTTCCAGTGCTTTCAAATAAAAATATCACAGAGAACAAAAGTTCAATGTATGAGTTGTAATTCAGTAAAATGAGAGAATTGGTCAAGGGTCTGAATACCTTTGCAAGGCTCTGTATGTACTCTCTCCAACTGGCTGGTTCTTTGCTCATTTGCACCCAGGACTTAATCTCGGACTTTTGGTGACCATGCTTTTTCTATCACTGCTCCATTTAAGTGGAATGCCCTTTATCGAACTTTTCAGATTTTGGATTTTCTTTGACTTTTTAAATCTAAACTTAAAACTCAACTTTTACCAGGGCCTATGTCAGATTGCCCTACATTCTATCCTGTATGTTCTTAATTTTTCTTTTACTTTTTTACTTTAATTTGTACTTTTTTTGTCTTTTTCTTTATCACAATGTAGAACATTTTATTGTTTCTAGATGTTATAATATCTAGTGTATACTTTGTAATTTATGTACAACTTTGTGTACACTGTAAATTACTCTGGACAAGTTAATCTTGCTAGCTTAATGACAATGTACAGCATGGTTTCTACATGTACTTACGGAAGTCCTCTCAAGAGTCTGTTCCTAGATGACTGAAAGTAAAGAACACTCATCTATCATTTCAGTGTCTTACTATGAAAAGAAAACCATTTTACGAAGAAATTAATTAAGTTTGCATATTGTTTTCTGAGGGCATCACCAAATCAGGTGATTCTCCAGGCTCTCCAAGCCCTAGCTGTTACAATAAAGAATAAAAACTACTAACACTTAGAAAATGGCTTCACTGTTACGGTGGTGCTCAAACAAAGCAAAATAGTAGAAACAAATTCAACTTTTCAAAGCAGCATCAGGCATTACTGTGTCCCTCGCCACTAACAGCCAGGTCTCTGCAGTTACTGTACTTTATACAGATGCAACTTTATGTGTGTTAAGAACAAACCCCCACAACTGATCCTAAATCAGCTTGCAAAAGTGATAAAAAGGTTCTCTTTCTAAGTTTTAACTTTTACTCTTCCAAAACCTCAATTAATAATTACATTTATAAGCACCATAGAGCCTTAAGGCCTTAAGCAATTGGGGTCCCACTTAAGTGATTTGCACATTCACTGGGGCTTGTTCCTGGCATTGTAAAGTAGAATTCTCCCAATGTCAGACTGTTCCTAAAGGGGTGAACAACTCTGAACTGTCTTGACTATCTGTCAAGAGGGTCGTACTCCAGTTCACTCTGCACTAAATGGAAACCTTGTGTAAAGTGCCTCCTGTTCTCAGATTTAAAAAACACCATCACGTAGTTTCCTTCTGCAACTTCTTGTTCATGCTTCACTGTTGATATTGAAAATGTTCACTGGATTGACTTCAAGCATTTTGATTATGTGGATCAGGTCCTCTTGTAGTCTTCTTAGCTCAAGATTAAAAAGGTCTTTTACTTTTATTTAGCAAAATAAACATTACAACAGTTGAAGGTGTGCATATTATGATTTATGTACACACCTATATTACACAATCATCAATGTCAAATAAGAGATATTTTCAGGAATATCAAGGTCATTAGTAAACAACTCTGATGTGTAGTTAGAGTGCAGATGAAAAAGCAATATCATCCCTATTTCTCTTTACAGCACCTACCAAAAAAAACAAACCGACATCAATCTATTGGCTTCCTTGTTCATTTAAATGCTCATAACCCAAGACAGCACTTCATGGAAGAGATATCACACATGTAATTCACCCAGACTGCAAGAATTGTTCCAAGAACGACGATCTTGAAGATCCTGAAAAATTCATCGTATCTGATTAGCTAACTTTGTAGTGGTCCTTATACAGGAAATTGATGACTGAAAAATTGAAATAAGTAAAATATTCACCTATTCCAAAATAATATCTCAAAACATTCTGCATTGCTTCCATGTTAAAAGAGGGACTAAAGATTTCAAAATTATACATTTCTTAAATTATACATGTCCAGTAAAATTAAGTGTCACAATTATTGGCACCCCTGTTTTCAGTACCGTACTATTCCCTTGTAAGAAAAACAGTAATGATCCTTTCTCTAATGTTTAATGAGACTGAAAAACACAGATTTTGCATAATCCCTCCATACAGGATATTTCCAGATAGTTGAATTCCTTGGGTCTGTGCTTATGCACTGCTCTGTTTAATTCATACCACAGGTTTTCAATGGGGTTCAAGTCTGGTGACTGAGATAGCCATTGCGAACTGTTGATTTTGGGGTAAAATAATTTCTTTCTGAATTTAATATATACTTGGCTTTTATTATTTATTTATTATTATTGCCTCGCTGAAAGATCCACGTGTATAAGTGCAAGTATAAGCCTCCTAACACACGCAACAGGTTGCTGGATAAAATGTCCTCATACTTGGTAGAGTTAATGATGCTGATGACCTTACGAAGAGCCCCAGGACCAGTGGAAACAAAACAACCCCATAACATAAAAGATCCACCATCATATTTTGCAGTAGGTTTGGTGCACTTTTCTCTCATCTAAGCATTGCACCTTGTTTCAATCCAAGTGCCAATATCATTTATCAAACTACAGGCACTTACTTTTGTTGGTTTCTCTTCATAAACATTTTAAGGTGACTGTGTATGACCCTAAACAAGCTCAGATCTAATTGGCCTAAATAACACAAGCCACACTTATTTGTATGCACTTGCTTTCAATACATTTGGCTCCTTCATTTACCCAGGTGCTCCACTAGCCTGTATGTTCAAACTGATAGCTGTCCAGCCATAAATGGTAGCCAACTAATATTCGGGACAGACACATGGTTTTTACTAACTGAAGCCCTGATGCCACTTCACTCAGACTGGAGAGGTTGGCAGATTCACTGAGACAGATGGTGAAAGACTGAACTTCACTGCACCATTAGATTCTGACTTTACAAAACAATACAAACTTTATAAGACGATAAAAATAAATTGACCATATATTTTACATACATCTGAACAAGTAAAGGTTAATCTTTTCCATGCTGAAAAGAGAAGAAAAGAAACACAATGTTTCGGCTGTGGAGCCTTCTTTGGGTGTCATTTTACATACATCTCTTGAATCCAGTATACACTTTTTATGCAAGAGTTTGACAACATTGAGAAATATGATCCCTGCTGGGACAAACCATTTTGAAATTATTTCAACGTTCAAAAAAGTTATTCCTAATTTGAAGAAATTGTTGGGTTTTTTTTAAATAAAAACAAAAACTACTATTTATTAATGCAACTACTATCTAAGGATGTTGTTAACCATTAAAGAAATCTGTAGAACACAGTCAATCTATGTTCAGATTGACTGATTCTACATCCACCGTCACATCAGACAACCAGATCAGTCCTGATTTTGCAACTACTGCTTTAAAGAAGCCATGGAAAAAATATAGCACAAGCTCAGATATTGTAAAAATAAGAGATCTGTAAATGATAAATTTCAATTTTATTATTTTGAATTTTCTAAACATTACCGCTGTGTTCATATCTGCCATAAAAGTGTAGAATGTGCAGATTAACAACTGAACAAAGAAAAGGACCCAAAAACCTCCCACTGATGGCCACTGTGACACAAAAGGCATGAAACACAGCTGATTCCCATCTGTCAATCGAGGGGCAAATTCCAAGAGGTAACACCTTGATCAAAGTGTCCTTTAGGTTCAATTGTCAATACAATCTTTCTTTGCTTGTTTGGGTTTTTCTTGAAAGTTATAGACAAAATTCTGAACATGTTCCTTTAGACTGTTAAAAAGAGTTCAATTAAACTAAAAAATTAGGGCCCCAATTTCTACCCTAAAAACCACTTTACAACAGCATAAAAGGCTTCAGTAAGTTAAAACGCACTGTTAAAATTTACAGAGTAATTAAAAAAAACTAACTGGTAAATACTTCAACATCTGTAGTCGGCTATACTATGCTTAAACACTGAAAGCAGTCATCAAAATCTTTCTTAAATTAAGGGTTCTAATCATGAAAGCATTTGGCAATCTAACAAGTAAAATACATGAACAGAAGTTTTTAACATGGACAAAATCAGCCATCAGATTTATCAACAATGATTTGTAAAATTACACTGAAGAATTCCCCCAGCTCTCATCTTTGCGCCAGTTCCCAGCAGTTAGTAGATCGCAGAAGTGCCGTGGTGTCCCCTGACATAAGAGGGCCCCAACCCACAATCATGAGCAAAACAGCAATTCCTTGTAGAAGGGCACTAAATACAAAATAGCAGAAGCAGCAACTTTAATTACATTTGCATCACCCCAAACCATCTGAGAACACCTTCAACCTTTAATCTGTTAATATGTCATTTATTCAGTGATGTCATCTTTGACTGTTTCACAGCCAGCACACACAATCACTGCTATATCTGCAATGGTACATGATTCACAATGTCTAACATCACCTCCCTGGATTCCATGAACACAAACCAGTTTCGGACTTCACTTTTTATCTGAGACCATAAAATGCTTCACATAAATCCAGCATTTGTTTTATATCGAGTGATCTTGCAGTCATACCCAATGACAACTAATATTTAATGAAAGACATCACTCTTTTCTAAACACAATTAATCCACAAATAATCACCTGCATTCACCTCTGCATTTATGGCTTTTACAACCATCCCTACTAATAGTGAACAGAATGTCTTGTATTTTTATTTACCCTGTTTTACAAAGAACATCAGGAAATCTGAACAATGCTTGAGGCTGCAGGTGTTTCATTTAGATCATTTCATCAAGGAGCTTTATCTTTATAAAATCTACCTAAAGAAAGTATATTAAAAGGGATTTTTCATTTCTTTTTGCCTTGTCTGAACACAAAACCAGAGAGCTGCAGTATCATCCAGCTAAATAAATGGTGTTACTCAGGACTGTCCAATCTTGTTCCTGGGAAGGTGGTGTGTCTACAGGTTTTCATTGCAACTCAGGTTTTAATGAGCTAATTAGCTCATTTTTGGTACAACCTGACCAGTTAAGAACTTCTCCTAGCTATACAGGAGTTTTCACTTTTACATTTCTAAGTGACATAGAAAATGTGCGCAGACACACCAGCTCTCTACGAACAGAACTGGACAGCTCTGCTCTAAATTATTTGATTGATTACACCAGGAGTGGCAAACATTGGATCTGTATAGCCACAATCTAACAGTTTTTTAAGGTTTAACTAGCTTAAATCATCAATTTCTAAACACTTGGAACAATCTCATTTTGATCACTTGAGTAGGTGATCTGACCTATTAACTAGTTCAAACGTAATTTGATACATACAATATTTTTGAAAATACTAGCATCCTGTAGCCTTCAAGAGCCACAGCTGGGGACAAGATGTACTCCAGGTCTTTACAAAATGATGATTTAAAGGTGACATATAAAACATGCGAGACTGCAGCTTTCCAATGACCAGGCCTTAGGTACCAGTATCAAGCAACATGTGTACCTTTTCAATTCATAAACACAACATACCAAAATTAATCAGGCTATGGAACTGAGACCTGAGGTTATACAAAAAGCTGCAATGTTCAATACTGAGTGTACCTAATGGTAGAAAAAAAATCTACCTTGCTCTTCCAACTCATGGGAAAAAAAATGTTGCTTGTATCTTCCTCAGTGAAACAGAATGGCTGTGTTATACTGACCAAGATGTTTGCCCCATTTTCACATTATTTTACCACTGTGAACAGATGCTGTTCAGAATGTACCACGCTGGACCACTCACATTCTCCCTGGGCACCAAACTTTAGAAATCATCTGAAGGTTCTGTGTGTAGGACCCTATAATTTTTAGTTTCTTTCAAGAGCTCCTGTCCCAGTGTCTAGCCCACTTAAAAGCAGCCCGCACACCAGGGGCTATGCTGCACTTGTCCATTAGTTCTATTAATCCTAATGTCAATTAGACTGTGTAGCTGGGTATTTACTTAGTTATCATCAATGGCAGCGGTGGAACCAAAATCTACCAAAAAAAGCTGGAAGGCAAACCATTCATGGCTGTGTAAGACATGATATTATGTGTAAGATAAGTTATTTATTATGAAAGAGATAAAAGCAACTTCTCTCTAAACAGATTAAAAAATCCTGTGCTAAAAATCTGAGAATTATAATTTTATTGAAAATCAAGTTTGCTTTGTAAATCACGAGACTGAAAGATAGATGACAAACCTGAAATGCTTCTTCAGGAGTTGGTAAGGCAGAGGGCCATTTGCCTTTTCATATTTCATATATAAAATCTTAACTGTTAGCAAAACTTTAGTCTGAAATCTGAATGGACAATTCTTACACATGTCCCCTTGAATATATTCTCAAAAATTATTAAGTTTCTTCTCTAACACTTACCCACAACACTAAAAATAATAACTGGAAGTCCCTCCCAGACCCATTTATAGAACACTGTGCCCCATATTCCTGTTTCAAGCACTGGAGAGATTTTATTTATCTTAATTTTTCCACATAGTTGTTTGTTTGTTTGATTTACATTATCTACACAGTTTGAATGACTTCCTGCTATTCAGGGCCTTTCAGACTGGTGTGACCAGGTTTTCACTGACCAAGAAAAGTCCAGTCCTGTCCCATTATCATTAATACCATGATTGACCAAGCAATACTCCCTTGAGGTTTAATGCTGGTGGCCTATGGACAGGACCAAAGGAATAAGACACCCCACCACCAGAGCGGCCACTTCAAGCTTGCTTAGTCCTTTCCCCGCAGTGCCGTTGGGAGCGTGGCTGTGCCCTGTGCCACCCACCTCAGGCAGGACGTGCACCGTTGCCACGTACAGAAAGGTCCCAGCTGAGAAAAGCATAGCCACACCTGTGGCGTTCACCTCCGACAGGGCTTCCTTACTGCTCTGAAAACAACATTGAAGAAAAACAGTGAGGACTGAGTGACCTCACATCCTGTCTCTGTTGTGTCCTGAGGTCAAATTTAAAAACCGGCATTACCTCTTCCTATAAGTTATAAGTTCGTGGTTTGTTTCACAATGTGAAACGAAGAGAAAATTAAAGTCTTGTGCTGCTTTCCTTAAGTTTTAACTATTTTATCATTCCGTCAATTTTATAGTAAATTATTATCTAATGCAAATGTTGTGGTTTATTTCACACATTAATAGTTATTTCTTTATAAAATCACTTGGACTTGTCAAGTACAGTGCTGCATGAAAGTCTGTGAAGCCCTATTCAAGTTCTTGTAAGTAAGTTACTGTTCTATTCCTCCTGGAATTTCGACCCCTTAAACATTATGTTATATCTCTGAAAAAATTTGACATTGTGTTAAGTGAAGACTGGACCTGGAATGAAATTTCTCGCATCTTAAATAAATTACAAAAAGTATTTAAAGCAATAACAATAAAAGCAATTGCAATTGTTATAAAAACCTTTAGACACTGCTAGAGAACCTTTTTCTGTTATTGGGCATTGAAACAAAAACCTCAGAGTTGCCTTCTGGTGTGAAAAAAAGGACCACTGATAAGAAACGAATTGATTACACATTCTGAGTCAATGATTGAAAACTAGAAAGCAGGTGGAATGCAGCCTGAGCCTTCTAGAGGAAGTCTCACCCCGTAAGGGCTATGAATGGCTGAAAATACAATGAATGACAGCGTTTTTTACCAATCAGATCACCTTATTTCAGGCAGTCCAGTTAATCTTTTTTAATCTAAAACTGATCTTTTTAGATACAACAAAAAATGCCATTTTTGCAGAGAACCTAACACTGCCTACTACCAAAATAACCTTATCCCCAAGCATGGTGGTGGGAGTGTCATTGTTTGGGGCTGCGTTACTGCCCATGGACCAAGATGATGCACCATCATTGAGGGAGCTATGAATTCAGAGCCACACCAAAATATTATGGAGGAGAACATCAGGTGTTCTGTCCTTGAGTTGAAGTGGAGCTGAAAATGCGTCCTCCAATATAGCAATGACCATTGACATTCCAGCAAAAAATAGCAAAGTAATAATAATAATAATAAAAAATATTATGCTTAGGTATGACCAAGTCAATGTCTAGATCTCAAGTCAATAGAAATGTTGTGGCAAGACCTAAAGCGGGCTGTTCATGCAAAACAGAGAACTTGAATCGGTTTTGTAAGGAAGAATGGGCAAAAATTCTTCAAAGCAGATGTGAGAGACTGATTGGTACCCGAAGGAAGCATCATAGCTGCTAAAGAATGTGCCAATGCATATTGAATTTAAATGTTCTCTTACTTTTGCACAGACGAATCAGAGTTATTGTTAAATAAGTACTGTATTTATTAAGAAAACATTTTTTTATGTTTTGTTATTTGAATTATCTTAATTTAATATTGGAGCTCAAATAGAATATTTTAAGATTATTTGTCTAAGAAATATGAAAGATGAAGGGTTCATATACTTTCAAGCAGCATTGTATGCATGACTTATTTCATGTCTCTTATGTTCAAATCTATCTAAAAAAAAAAGAAAAATGAATCTCACTAGAAAGTACCTGGCCTTTAAAAGAGATACATTAAAATTAAAAGGAGAAAAAGAATAGCCTGGAATTCCATCTGCAACAAATGGAATTTGTTATGTAAAAAGACTATAATTTTCTACATTGCATTTGATTCATCTATACGTATATTATTAACTAAAGTGCAGCTGTGATATAATGCAATTATCATCTAATCACTGAATATTAAAAATAATTAAAAAATAAATGTTTCATCACAAAGCATATCACAGCACTTAGAGTACATGTCACAGCCTGCGGGTCTCCTAGATGTATTTCAATTTCAACAGTAAGAATATTCAGTAAGATGACTCATTTCATAAAAACTTTAGACACTGTGTCATGAATATAGTCACCATAAACATCTGTGTCAATGCTAGATTCAATCAAAACAATGACAAGACATTACAGCCAAAAAGATGGGGAAATAAATGTGCATGGTAGTGTTTTTTATTTACAATTATGAAGTTTACTTGACTATTCACAGTTCAGAAAATGTAGTCATTTACAGTACGTGTTAAAAATGTTTGACGTCAATGCATTGATGCATCTGGAAAACATTATAAGTAGTAGGGATTTTTACTATCTTGAACACAATCAAACCAAATTTTAAAAAGGGATCAAACTATCCTGTAAAAATGACGAGGTTTATCAACTTTAGGCTTCACTCTTCCTCAGTGAACATGACTCTGTAAATTGGTAGAGCAAAACCTGATCTACATTTCTTTGTGCCCTATGTGATGGAGCGGTCTGTGGTTTCTGAATGCTCTGTCAAATACATTTTAGACTGACAAAGATATTGACCTAATACAGCAGGACAACTCTCTCTAATTTTGATGCAGAAAGAAAACGAATACAGCACACTTACATTTGCCCTGACTACAGGACAAGGAGAGTCAGACGCACACAGAGGCAGACGGGGATATATACCTTGCTAAGCCCCAGAAATGTAAGCATGGACAAAACCGGAGCTGCCAGAGCGAACACGAGCAGGTGTTTCCGAATGCGATTCCGCTCCAATCCAGCATGCATAAGGAATGACACCAGACCAAAGGCGGCCGGAGCCTGAAGGAAACACATTTGCATCTGTCAATTCTGGCTGCTTTACAGTGAGGAGGCACTTACAAGTAACTATACCAATTAGGCATGGGAATTCCCAGACACACCATGGGCAAATAATCACAGAAATGCATTAATGTGTTTTATTCTCACATCAATACAGAAGGTTTTAAAAATACAACATCAAACAGACCATATGCAGTGGCTATCACATATGTTCACTGCCTTGGTCCTGGTCACATTTTATTGCTACAATATTTTATTGCAACCATAATGGGAGTGATAAGTGATTATTCAAATAAGGCTCAACAAAGACAAAACTGTTAATGAAGTGATAACATTTGGAAACTGAATTTTTGTAGCTAAAAACCTCAGTTTTGGCTAACACAGTGCCCTTTAATACGTGAACAAATTCAATATACATTTAGTGATGCGTGGTCAAGATTTTTGGCCTGAAAATCAAATGTGACATCTAGTCATGTAGACTTCAATTTTATTACCATTTTCCTGAAGGAAGTTCTTACTTATCAGCTATGACATGCTGGGCATGACATGACATAACTGAAGAGGTCTGCCCAACTGGTCAGATCAGTAAAATTAAAATCCTTGGTAGAAGATGACGTTTGGATTTTTATTGACAGGTGACATTATTCTAGGTGCAAATGGTATTACTATCACATCTGCTTTATGCCTGCAGATTTTCTTAAAGTTACTTCAGAAGCTTAAATGCTTTGCACACTCTCCTGTTCAAAATAATTTTCACTTTCCAGTCACTGCAAGTGACTGGTATGTAAATTACAGTATGCAAATACAGTAAATTATTTGGAAGAGTTCAAGCACCTTCCATTTTTCTAACAATGATTAGAACAGGGCAGGCACAGAACACACATTTTACAGCAGCAATAAGCTTATTTACTTTAATGTTTCTCTAAATGCTTGACCCAAAGTTAGGAATGTGAGCAGTGCATGTTATGCACAATGCATCCAGGAAAACTGGCCCAAGACTCATTTCCAGCTTTTATTCATATATGCATCAAAGTCAGTGACAGAACAGCAAGTATGTATTTTAAAATGTTTTCTACCACTCAGATTTTAAAATCTGAATTTAAATTCTAAACTATACTCCCTCTTGTTGATAAAAAATGCCAGGACATTTAATATCCTCCAACATTTAGAGTCAGTACTTTTGTTTACAACAAGCCCTATTCTAGAACATTCACTCTGTAGTTCATTCAGATTACTTCAAAGACTCATTCAAATACTTTTGGAAAGTGTACTTTATGGTTACAATCAGACATGAGTCCGATTAAGACATGACCTAATTCTTTGCTAAATCACTGATTTTTGTGTTGCTTACAAAACTGTTCACAAACTTTTCAGTTCTGAATGACGATACACAAGAAGCCTTTCTTTAGATATTTATCCAAATGCAGAGCACCGGGGTTATAATTCATAACTGTCTTCATACTATCTGACAACAGGTGTGAAGCTCCAATGCTTTTCATACTATGTTGTGCATTCAAAGTAGCTTAAATCAGCACCTGAATTACCAACACTTGCTGAAGCCACTGAGGTAATAAACTTTTCACAACAGTCTGGAAAATCCCTGAACACCCACAAGAAAGGTGCTGAAGAGTGACTAAGACCTCTACTAACTTGCAACCTACCTTGTGCAACATGATGGCAACGAAGACTATAAGCTGAACACTGGTCTGAGAAGTAGAGGCAGCAGCTCCCAGTGCAACTCCATCAGCTGGAGAAAAGAAACAGAACAAGATCTGAGTTTTGCTCCATAAGGAGAGAAAAAAAATAGAGTAGCACCTTGATGTACTAGCAAATACACTAACATGTGATTAAACAGAGTTGCAGCCACCCCCAATAGTATGCATACCTACTACATATAATTACAAGTAAGAACTACTGGCTGGCAAACTACAAATGACATGATAACTACTGAGCACGGGGTATAAATACGTATTTCTACAACTACATAGACTACTGAAGAATTGCATGAATAAGAGTTTATTTAATCTCAATTTGATTCAGTGGATGTCTTGGAAAAACAAGAACTGGAAAAGAGATCTGCCAAATAAGCACAAAATGACATTACTCATCAGGCTAAATAAGTCAGTGGTCACCACTTTTGGATATTAATGCTGGAAGAAAGAACACAGTGCTGGAAGTCCACTAAAAGTCAGATCACACTGGGAACAAACCATTGATGCTCATCTGGTAACAAGAGTGTGAAAACTGCCTGGACCTAATTTATAGTACCCCGGCACAGACGGGTATCTGGCTACATTCTGACATCTTGGGTTTAGCCTTGCTCATTATCAGGCACGAAGGTCAAGAAAGAAATAAGACTTGCATTTTGTCCAAGACAGTTGCCACAGCAATGTACTATATTGTACATTTTTGTAATATCACTATAATGTTCTTTGGAATTTAATGGGAATTTTGGCCTTTATTACAACACACTTTGTTCACTGCTTTGCACATATACTTGAATACTTTTGTTTTCAAAACAAGGTCCGATATTACTGAAGACAGTGGTGATTGTGACCTCTAGCTACAGCAGACGGCAGGCTATGGCAGACATAGCAGTGTGTAGTGTCAGTGTTAAATAACAGCAGCTGTAACATTCACTCCATTCTGGCTGTCCTGTTCACAGTAACCACAGCATCTACTGGTTCTGCTGAGTAGTATACTAGCAGTATGTGTGTTCTTAAGACTAAGCTATATGGCATAATCTATAAAGAAATGTAACTGTTCTTACACTTCTTATTGTTGTAAAATACAAAATATGTTTTTCATCATTATGTATTCACAGAACAAATGGAAACATAACATTGCATGGTAAAACCTAACACAACATATAGTAGATTATTACTTTTCTTAGGAAGAGTTATTTTTACATTTTAGGCTATATTATATATCTGACACCAATGTTACCACCTTCTAGTCTGATCTAAACAAAGCTTGTCACACAAGGTAAGGTCCTTCAAATGAGATGGCAAACCTAGGTTCTGACTACTTGGACAATAAAGATCTAATGATGTTGTTCATGTTTAGGGACATGTTTATTCCAGTGTTCTGAGGACATTTGGGGTTGTACAGACTGGTCTATCTAAATATTCCCCAATTCAAGTAGTGAATCTCCTTATTAGTTCTTTATCTGTACTGATATACGGTAAAGTAGATCCCCACCTTTGTGAGTACTGCACTTTACCTCACACGTACACTGCTCTGGAGTCCTTTGGGATGAAAGCGTTGTAGAAATATTTCATTTTAACGATTACCTCTGGTAATCATTGATGTGGCTGTGGGTGGGGTGGAGTCCTTTTTGTGAATTTTGATCTCTAATACCGTTAAATGGGACATGAATATCACCAGTATGACAAGGAAAACACAGCAGAAAATGTACTTTTTGCACCAACTGAAAATCTTTGATGTTTGTTAACCAATCCAAATACAGTTTTACAGAGCCATCTTTGGAGAGGGACATAGGCTGTCATCTATCCTCCATTAATGATTTGTAAAATTCCAAAGCAAGGAAGTAAGCAGGAAAGATCACCCCTCCTACCCAGGCTATCACCTGTTTCAAAAACTTCACTGGAGAAGAAACTACTGGTCTGTTAAAACCAGAACCCCCCTTATTTGAAGCTTACTTAAGTCTATCTTTTTGCTTTAGTAGAATTCTTATTATACTGTATGTGCGCTGCCTTAATAATGACTATTGTCTTGCTTGTGAATGGTATATGTAAAAGCAGAGGGGATATTTGCCGAGATGTGGGGGATCCCTGATCAAAAATATTTAAAAAGTTTAACTTTGTATACTTGGGTAATTAAACTGTGTGTTAACTATTGTCAATGAGTAGCCTAGAAACACACTATATAAAATTACATAAATACAAGAGGAGAGACAAGGGGAACCAGGGAGGAGAGTGGAGAGAAAGAAGGTAAGACAATAAGAAGAGGACAAGAGGACAGGAGAGAAGAGTTAAGAGGAGTTGGAACTTGAAGCTTGCTCCAGGCTAGAGCCCCTACTCCATGATCATGCAAATAAAACCTGACTGGAGCTAAGTATCTGAACCTTGCTAGAGAGAACTTGCTATTCTGTCCGGGGATTTTATGGGTGATTAGGATGTTAAGCCTCTGAAACGCCATGTTTCCATGTTTGTACATTCTATAAATATGGTAACTTGTGTGTTGTATGTTTAGGTGTGTATATCTTGTGTTTGTCTTGTCACTGTTAATAAACATTTTTTTTAACCAAGTTTGCCTGGATTATTTCTCTTTTCACCAAAGCTGTGCCAGAGAATAAATAATTTATGTGCCTCTGTACCAACCACTCTCTGGAGAAATCACTTACAAGTTACAAATATTTAGTTTACTTATTGACTAAACCGCTCGGTCAATTCCCAAATTTTCAACATTTTCATAACCCCCCCATTTGTAACAGAATTAATATTTAATTATATAATAATATTTTATAATATATAAACTGTATATTTTTTGTGATGTGTGTGTATGAAGAACTGTTGGGGCTGAAGAGCTCTTTGTCTTCATAAAAACGCACGGTTTCCACCTCATTAGTTACTTGGCCCTTATCTAGCCACCCATTTTAGTCACAGGGTTTTGAACAACAGTTCAGGGAAATTAGTGGGCTCTAATTAGTGGGCTCATCTGGGCTCTCCCCCAAAAAAAATCACAAGCATCCTATGATATTTCTGGGATAGTAGTGGGCCATTGGGATACCATATAGGGATATCACAATGAATAAAATATATCTACATTGCATCATACAGCTGCTCTGTGCGTTATGATCCACTTGTGTGTGCAAGAGTGTAAAAAATACTTAAAACACAAACTTAACTGGATGAAGAGCCTCAAACGTTGCTGCTCTGCTGAAGCACTGCTCACACTGCCAGTGCAGACTGACCATACAGACTACAACATGCTTGACACTTCAAAACTGCTCCTAACATAGATTAACCTTTAATAATAGTTTAAGATGTCAGTTTTATGCTTCCTGGGAGGTTGGAGATAGACATATGTCAATATAAAGAGCTCTGTTTGTTGGAACTCTGCAACCATTAACAACATGCTTATGTTCATTTCATTCTACCTGCTGCATGCACTACAAGCCCCAAAGTGGTTGTGATCTTAGAATTTGTCACTCTCCCAGCCTCTGGATCTGAAAGACAGGCAACACACAAGAAATTTCAGTAATCAAATAAAACTCAAATATATTAAAAAACAAATGACAAACAGTATTACACCCCTATTACATGGAAAATTAAGGGAGGATCTAAATGTATCTTTAAATAAAAGACACTCGTGGAGCGCTGGAGAAGCACAAGAACATTTTTTGCAAACTGATGCCTGGAATGGCAGGATCATTCAGACAAGGCAGTTGATTTCTGGTCAGTGTGGTTAGTTTTCATCTAAGCAGCAGATAACTGAACATTGAATGTTTAATTGAACCTGAAGCAGGAGACTGGTGAAATAAACACAGATCAGATGGAACAAACAAAAACATGGAAAAGCAAGAAAAATCCAATGAAATATTCTGGGCAAAAGATTCTACAACTGTAGTCTTTCACCAGTTAAAGAAAGGAGTGAAAACAGCTTGGGCAGGAGGTGTGCTTAGGGTGGTAGGTTAAATTGATTTTTCTTGCTTTTCCATGTTTTTTTTTGTTCCATCTGATCTGTGTTTATTTAACCAGTCTCCTGCTTCAGGTTCAATCATCTTTGCCTACCACCCCAAGCACACAGCTTGCCCAAGCGGTTTTCACTGCTTTCTTTAGCAGGAGGAGAGCTGGTCAACCAGCAATACCAGATGACTGTGGTCTCACAATACAGCCAAGATCACAATTATAAGGCAAAATAAAGCCAGGAATCCAGATCATAGGCTAGGGTTGTTCTAGAGAGCAGTGTGTTGGTATAACCGACGTAGCATGCTTCTGCTTAAAGTACCAGTATAGGACAAACTGCATACAGTCACCATTATGGCTGTGTAATTAGAAAGTTACATCCATCTTTGCCTCTAGTCGTGCAAAATGTATTTTTGAGTTTTTCACTTTTGTCTTGTGTACAAGATTCTGCTATTAGGATGCATATAGCAGTGTAAATAAGACCATTCAGCTCTTCTGGAATCTGCTGTACTGAGGCATAGACCAAGCTTTCATCACTGACTTTTCAATTTTCAGTACCAACTATAAACGTTTCCAATATAATTCACTAAGAATTTACTTCTGTTACTATGATGAGCTTCAGCTGCAGAATCTTAGATTATTATTTTAAGAAAAGGAAAATGTGTAATTTTGAAATTGTTAGCTCATATTCTTGTCAATTCACGGCTACGAATGTTTCAGTTTTGGTGTGATACTGTGAAAAAATAAAAAACACAGTAAACCACAAGAGTTATTAACTGCCACTAAGCCACATCACAGGTTTATAAGCTCCTAAGATAATTAAAAACTTTTTTCCCCACCCATGGCAACATTCTCACATTACAAACCTTTTCCCACTGAATGTTCAAACCCCAGACCCTTTGAAGATCCACCATATACGTTTGCACTCATTTCTGAACTGTTCCTTCAATTTCTAAAGCTAGAATCCAGGTAAAAAGAGATTTAGGATTAAAAGAGTTTTCCATGCATTGTGCAGGATATTAATGTAGAATAAACAACCTGAAGAAAGCAGGTAACGTTAAGTAATAATTCAAGAAACAAAAAGACAGATCTCACTAGCAGTTCATTACTTAGCCCAATGAAGCCAGTTAACATCTGATGAAAGGTATTCATTTCTTCTGCTGCCCTGGGGGACTGAATTGGTGGAATATGACCTGCAAATTCTGATAATCAGGGAATGCAAGCAGGAATTTATATCATAATACTCATATCACAAAGGAACATCCAGGTAATCCTCCAAAAAGCTTTTAATGAAGCAACATACTCCTTCAGATAAATAATTTTAAGGAAACAGAATTAACATTTAAAGTGTTAGTGCTTCGCTGAAGTGATGGCAAGGATTTATAACCATTTTGCATTTTATATTCACACACCTGTATTTGCATATTTATTCAAAATAAGCTAACAAGCTAGAATAACTAGCACCTACCTTAAGTGAAAGCTGGAATGGAATGTGTCACAATGAAATACAGTACTGAGAAGTGAATTCTGCGTTCACCTGACCCAGTCCCAGCTTCCCAGGTTTTGGACTACTTTCATCAGCCTTACCCTCTGTGGCATGCACATGGGTGCTGCCGATTTGGTCCACCAGCAACATGAAGACAAAGCCCAGCACCAGCGAGACACCAATGTAGGCATGGAGCTGCTCATGGCTGTGAAGTTGTTCACCCAGCTCTGCAACCATCGACCCCTCTCCAGACTTCACCACCTTTTCCACATTCTGCGTATCATGCTCCCTGTGGTGCTTCCCTATAACAACACGCAACAGCACAGCGTCAGTACTGCACAGTCTCAGTGTCAACAGCCCCGTTTGTTCATACTGCTTCCTGTCTGCTGTTGGTACCACAGTCCCACAAGACACAGAGTGCCCTGTTGATGTCAGAGAAAATTGTAATGCTTTCAGGCGTGAATCGTATGTTGTGTTTACACCTACATTCCCAAACTGTTACATACAGATTTGGATGCATTCTGTACTGGAACAGCGCATTGCATTTTCTTGAAACAGCAGGCTGTGAGCAGTGGTGTCTGAGTATGTGCAAAATGTAAACTAAAGATACTGTTGTATGTATACTGTGTATGTTGACATCATAGGGTCCAATAAACAATAATTATGCTTGAAGAAATACATGCATAAAGGGAGGGGGTCTGCAACTGTCAGGAAAACCACTGACCCCTCTCCAGTCTTCACCACCTTTTCCATACTCAGACTTCAGTCTTCACCACCTATACTTCAACAGCACACGAGCAGTACAATAATGTAGGAAACCGGGACTGTGTACACACACTCTTCAAAAAGAAATTAAGATTTTCAACTTCATGAACTGGTACAAACTGTCAAAAAGTGCAGTGTTTCAATTTTAAAAACTAAAACCATCTTTGGCTTCTGATTTACAGACATGAAACATTTTATCCTGAGAAGGTGAAAATTACATGATATACCTACTGAAGCCAACAGTATCTTTTTTGGTGAATAAAGAATAACTGTGTAACTTTGAAAGTACATAATATCTGACCTTATCTTATACCTACATTGAATACCTTAGAGTCAGCTGTACTGTAGTCACATGGCAGAACAGAACACACTTTTTCTATGTCTCTACTCTTCAGTTTCCTCAAAGAGATGAAGATCCCATTTCAAGATCTCTTACCATCCAAGACTTCCTCATACAGTGCATGCACACCCTCTGGAATGATCACCGCCAGTGCAGTGCCACACAGCAGCCCTGCTCCCAGCACTGTTATTAGCTTCAGCTTCTCCTGCAGGGAGAGGGGACCATCAGCATGAAGGCTATCATTTAAAAGTTTTCCATGATTTCACAATGTTATTTATGCACTTACCTTACTTACTATAGCTGTGGCTACAAGTTGAACTTTGCTTTTCAACAAAAAATGAAAATAACACAGTCATAATACGGATTTATATTAGTATACCATGTTTGATTTGGTCCAGTTCAAAACATAGCAAAGCACATGATAGCATGTTAAAACCAGAGTAATAAGAAACATACAAAAGTACGACGATAAATTCAGCACGTCAAACTGTTATTAGGCTGTTGCTGCATCCCAGAGAAAGCTATTGTTATAGTCATGCCAGTTGTACACAAATGTTCTAGCATGTCTGAGGGGTTACCATGCTAGAACACATACATACACTGTAGCCTCCCACTCAGGAAGGCTTTTAGTTTGCAGACTGACTGTTATGACCCCAAGTGTCTAGGGGTAAAGGGGTGTAACTTTAGGATGGTTTTGGATGCAGGTGGGTTTCTGGTGAGAGACTTAGGAAGCCTGACAACAAGTTTGGTGCAAAAGGATTTATTTAAAAGTGAATAAGTGACTTTAAAATAAGTGACTGGTACGTAATAGGACACAATAACACACAGGGAAAGGGAACTAGAGCGGTGCCAAAGAAAAGAAAAGAAAAGAAACAAAACGGAGCTGGCTAATAAAGTGAGGGAAAGCTGATCTATCTACCAAAACAAAACCTGAAACACTTGGTCTTCGGCATCTTCTAACACCCTGGCTAAACCTTCACTAGCTACCCCAAACCATACAAGACAAAAGGCACTCACATGTCCTAAACCAGTGTTACTAATACAAAGATCAACTACGTGTGTAGAATGTACCCGACGACCTTAACTAACCCTAAACACAAAAGTTCACACAAATACACAAGTGAACGACGAATACAAATAAGGGAAAACAAATTTAGACAAGGAATCGGGACCAAAAAGCGCAGAGGCTGATATGACACGTTTGGGCAAGGTAATGGCCAAATAAAGGATAAACAAAAACAAATGAAAAAACGAGGAGACGAACACAAACCAACAATGCCGAAGCTATACAGAAACACTCATGAAGCGAAACAAACGAAAACAGAGAGACGAAGCCAAAGCAAAATGAAAGCGAAAAAAAGCCAAGCTGAGCAGAAACAAAGTCAAGAGAAAGGCTCCTTCATTCTTAAAAAAGTTAAATACTGAAGAAGCTGTGTTCTGATTGGTCGAGAGCTGCCTGATGATGACATATTACAGCAAGCTGGATGAATTAATGAACCAATGGGGAGGGAGAACAACCATAGTCAATAAGTGTGGAACATAGCAACAAAAACACACATGGACCACACACTGGGACATAACACTGATCAATAAGTTAGGAATTTTGATCAGATTTGGCTCCATGAACTATTTACTCTGCTAAATAACTAACATATCTAGCTTCTGTACAAGTTTCTCAAGTATGCACTGAAATTAGCACAACACATGGTTGAAAATAACATCCAACAATAGTTTGTTATAACATGCAAAAGCACATAGTGCCCACTACAAACATCACTATGTACTTAGGTTACTTTAAGCTACACTACCATACAGAATCAGATCACGATTTTGGACAAACTAAGGGAATCTTATTCCAGTCTCACATAACCTCACTGACCAAATCATAGAAACCACACAATAATGTGCCTGGCTTTCATAAGAAGCAACAACTCCCATATCATACACATAATGTGGCATGTACACCTTAAGGTTTTAAAATATAGATTCAACCGTTATCAGAAGTCCAGGTTCGTTGCATCCTGGGCCTATTCCAAAGATATAATGCTGAAGGCTGTACGCCACCAAATGCGATTGCCACTCAGTGTTTGAAATACTTGCCTTTAACAATTCTCCTATTTCCAGCAAGATGACTTTCAGTTGGGATTAAGATAAGTACTAGCGCCTATTCCACTGTTTGCAGCAGTTTCAAAGCTGGTTGAGACAGGGCCCGCTCATAAATATATAGGAAAACAAGGCAGTTACCTAGAGCACCAAGTAAAATGGGGCACAAATTTTGACGGGAAAAATAGTTTTAAAAAAAATCTATTCAGAATAAATTTAAAGGTTTAAAAATCACAAATAAAATAATGAACACTTAATTGTTTTAATAGTTGTGTTTAAAGGAGGAATAGGAATTATAATTCACTGTGTTATCACTGCAATACACAAGGGTACACCACTATTGTTTTTTACACTGCTGTCTGTGTTATTGCCATAGAGTGGTGATATTGCAAATCAGCATCTTTCAGATTTCTATATCCAGAATGTGGGTATCTTTAGGCATTATTAAACCTTAGCAACATTAGGATGTATAATTATGACCTCTTCTTTCTTATAACTGGCTTAGATGTAAGAAATATAAAAGACGCTAAAAGACTCTTATGTCACTTAATTGTCTGAATACATTTTACAATATTATATCTATTTAAGACATCATAAAATAAAATATTAGTAAAAGTTTAGCTATTTACCTAGCTGTGGGTGAAGTGTGAGAGAGAGGATGAAAAGAAATCTTCCACTCTGGTTAATTAAAATTAATTAATTAACATTTAACTTACATGAAGACATCATAAAAAGCTACAGGAGAGAGAAAAGTTAGAGAAAAGAGAAGAGGAGAATTAACACAAGGAAGCTGAAGCAGTAGGTGAGTTGACCTTGTTCTGATCTTTGATTTGGTCATGTTTTTAATATAGGCACATTGACTTCCTTTCACATTTGGCCATCTAAGATTATAGGAAGGGAGACTAGCACTAGGTTGGATTCTGTTAATTTAGTTTCTCTTGTTGGCCTGTTTAAGCATTGAATAGGATTTCAGGTTACAGGGTTAGCATTCTGGGTTCCTGGGTCTTTAGAACTTAGGCTTCTAAAACACCTTGCTTTGTAAACACAGTAACTTTTATGTTGTATGATGTGCAATGTGTTATTGTTATTGTAAATAACCACTCATTTATTACTCTTTTACTAGAACTGTGCCAGAGACATAATCTTCAAATTATCCCATCTCAGATATAACTGTGACATTCAGGATTTAATTATGTATTATTAAATAATTATCTTAATTATTTTATTTCCTGTCATAAAGGGATCTATTTCACCCTAATTCGTAACTATGCAAAACTGCAGACAGAAAAAAAATATTGGTTTCTATGTATACCTTAGCTGCACATTAATGATTCTTCAACTCCCTAATGCTCCTTCCTAATGAAGATGTAGGGATTAATTATTAATTTTTACAAAATATTGATCCATGGCAGAAAAAGGAAAAAGAAAACCCTCAGGAGCTGAGTATCGTAAAACAAAAGCTGAGAAGGAAAAGGACCAAACAAAACAGGATTCTTTCTGAAATATCTTCCCCTTAACCCAAGTGAAGATGGAAGCAGTTCACAATATAAAGATTAAGGAATTATACTTGGAGAGAGGCTTGGTTTACATCTGCACAGAAGCAGTTTGGAACAAAATGAAGAATCATTTCTTCAAGATAGTGACACCTCACATCTTCAACTGTTTTGAAAACTGAAGATCATGGATTTTACTTATGGATCAAGGTATTTAACCCCATCAACCTGATATGGAAGTAAAAAAATATATATATTCACCTTCAGAGACACATGCAAGAATTGAAGTAAATGAAGTAAATGTAGAAGGAAGAAAAGCTTAAGGAAGCTACAAACAAGTCACAAATAAACAAGAAGCCAGAAAGAGGTTCATATGAAAGAGGTACAGAAGAGTTGTAATGTTATTAAAATGAGAAAGAATTTGCAGTAAAAATGAAAAAAGGAAAAATATGGATGAAAAATTCAAACATTAGACTTTAATTGCTTCAATGAGTGTTCTTGATGGTCAAAACGTATTATTCCTCTGCACAAATGAAAAATTATACACACCCAGTAATGGAAACTTTTTAAAATTTGATGAATACCTAGATTTGTTTGATACAGTCATGAAGGAGTACGAAACAAATTACTTAGGAATAAATATTCAGAATGAACTTATTAGCAAATGCCATTAAAAATAAAACTGTAGAAGCTGTCCACTCCGCACAACCGTTTTCAATAATACTGGACTGTATGCCAGATGTGAGACATGTTGAACAAATGGCAATGATGATTTGTTTCATGAATACAACTGAAGACGACAACTGGAGCATTTGTAACTGAAACTATTCTACAAGAGCTCAAAATGTCATTACCTGAAAAAAATTGGAAACAGGCTTTTTTCGTTCCTTGTGGTGCAGATTCCCTGAATTTGAGAATTGTCAATGATACTGCTAGAAGCTATTTGTAGGCAAGCTGTGTTTTTAACCTAGTCCAGCATGTTTATGTATTTTCTTCAGGCTCAACACATGGCTGGAAGACTGTGACTCATCATGCGAGTTCCCTAACTGTGAAACCACTAAGTGAGACAAGATGGGAGAGATGCATTGATGCTTTGAAGCCTCTTCTCTATGAACTAGAAAATGTTTATGATGCCCCAATTGAAATTTCTGATGATCCTACCTTTACTTTTTTTCAGCAAAAGAAAAGTGTTTTCTTATGAAAAACTAGACACACCCATTCAGAACCTAAAACAGAGTTTCAAAGTGAATTTCTACTTCACAGTCCTTGATATTGCTATTCATTCAGTTGACAAAGGATTTAAACATATGCAGCAGCTGGAGTCACTATCTGGCTCTTTTCATGATATCGAAAGCTTGTGGAATAAAACAGCAAAACAGAAAAGGGAATGCTGCATAAAAAGTCAGAACTGACTCCTGGAAATTCAAAAGACACTAATGCTGCTGGTTTGTGTAGTAAGCTACAGGCTTTTTCAAGAAGATGTCCACTCTGAAGATGTACTGAGGCTTATTTGTAAAATTAAACTCTTAAGTTTTACAGACATTTCTATAGCTCTACATGTTCCTTTAACTTAGCCAGTTTCCATAGATAACTGAGTTGGGATTCCCAGTTAGGAAAGATGATGGGTCTCTTGTGTGGTCTACAAGCCAATCATGCATTGTCCTCCAATATTATATTTAATTCAGATTTTCAAAAGTTTTGCCAAGGAGTATATGAGCTGCTCTATTCAAACCTATTTTATCATATCTCTTGTGGGGGGTACTATTAAAATTGTAAATATAAATACTGTCACCCTCAATTCCTAACATTACAACTCACTGATTTACTAAGGTTAATAGTTTTTTATTGTGCTTGTCTAACATTGATCTCTTCTAAGGCCATTGAAAATGGCTTTATCCCTAAAAAAACATTACAATTCTTAAGATAAAAGCTACTCGTTCCTGCTAGCAATATCTGGAGTTAGAAATAAATATTGATGCTGCGTCTTATCTAAAATGGCACTTGGAAGAATTCATTAGTGTTTAATAAATTTAGAAATATAGCAAATATGTGCCGTACAACAATATGCAGTCGACTTAATAAAGACGTGTGCAACTTGTAATTGGATCTCAAAAAGCGCCGTAACTACGGAAGCCCTACGCGTAAGTACGTTTCATATGTAGGTGTAGAAGGGTCAGAATTGTTTTTAATTGCAGGCATGTTTTTCCCCACATACTGTGCTACAATGGATTATACGTATAATATGCATATCAGGTATCCATTTACAATACCGTATGTAAAGACCAAACAAAAATGCAAGTTAATCTTTACACGCTGACTAAGAATTCGGAGACCTAGCCTATAATTCATCTACCAGTGTCTATTTAAACGGAAAATGCCATATTAATCATTGAAAAGATTTTATTCGATTACCAACTACTGTTCTGACGTTTATTCAACATGACTTTAAAGCCATGTGGATGCTGCACATTGGTGGTGGCAGAGGGGAGTACCCATTACCTGTAAAGCGTTTTTACTGCAGTGTCCAGAAAAGTGTAAGCAATTATTACTATTAGTATTATTATTATAAAGCAGATCTGACGTAGCAATTGCACTATGTCAAAGGCTACTGAAGTCAGAATTTAAGACAAGATGGTATGGACGTAGATAAAACTTGTATACTATATATTGTACAAGAAAACGTCGATTCTTAATGTGTTTTGAAGAAGCAAGGAAATAAAAATGACAATTTGACTTCCACTCACATGCACTTCGGAGAGATGACGTAATAAGTAGTTAAACATAATCGAACAAACTTCCTACAACATATTAATGGCAAAATAAACTTACCTCTGAAAAGTTGACGGCTAAAGGAATGGTACCAGCTACATAGCAGCCCACCAGCATCGCCAGCGAAAGAAGACTAATTGAGCTAAAATCATCCATTCTCCGTAGCGTTCGAAAAGTCAAATGCACTTGCAGCTCGCTAGAACTCGTTAATGTAGTCAGACCTATACATTAGCTAAAAACACAACCACCACGGGAAATCCAAACGGGGTCAAATGTGAAATGTTTATGAAAAGAAATTACATAATAGTTCGATTGTACAAAATGCAATTTAAAACGACATGTTTACAATCGGTTCCTCGTGTATCCTTTTTACTAAATGCCGAATATTAATTTAACATATATTCTGTCAAAATCGAGCGACTTGCTTTGTCTTTACCAGTGGATAAGTTAAATAAAAACACGCATATACGGAGTTATAATTAAATTACATTAAAGTTTTTCTGAGTGTAAGATCACTGACAATAATTGCAAATTTTCTGGCTCTCATTATCCGTCCAGGTAGACAACAGCTACCATGGTCCAGGGTGGCATAATCAAAAGCTTCCTGTTTAAACACCTCCTCTTCCGGATAACCCCGTTACTATGGCAATGGGCATGCGTAAATAATATACTGTGTTTACAACGTCTGCTCATAAATTAAATTTGGTTTAGCATTTAATGTTGCTTTCATTTTTTTTAGATTTGCTGAGATTTGTTTTAAAGTTACTTATTTGAATTTTTATTATAATAGCTGACCTCAACACAAAAGTATATCTTAAAAGGGCTTGAGAAGTGACTTCGTTGAATGTTATAGGTAAAAGTTTATTCCATTCTGAAAGGAAAAGAAAATTGACACAACGTTTCGGCTGAAAAGAAGGTTCCACAGAAGAAACGTTATGTCCTATTTTCTTTCCTTTCAGTATGGAATAAACCTTTACCTGGTTCTTGGCAGCGTTCGCATGCTAATGCATACACTACCTATTCGTACTTCGTTGAATGGTGTCAAGTACGTTATTAGAATTTTAGGCCTTGTCTAAAATGCCGCACGTCTGTGACTTAGCGCAAGTACGCGAGCCTTCAATGGCTCACCGATATAAAAACGGTAATAGGACACCCTCGCGTGATGTCATTCAGCTCTCGGACTAATTTGCTTCTGTTGCTGATGGTTATTTTTAAGCGGTCAGGTGCACTTCTGAAGGGAATTTTTGAGTAATTTTTCATTCTCCGCTCGCGGTTTAATAAAATTGAATGTCATCTCATCTGTCGGTTTACAAAAGTGGTGATATATCGTGTCCATTCATGTTGAGCAGGCCCGACACAAAACGGGTGAAATAAACTAAAGAAAACTTGGTAATAGTACCACTGTGTTTATTAAAATCTTTGTACTACTAAAAACATTTCATGTCGTCTGTCCTATGTCAAAAATGACAGTAAGAGAAACATAACGAGATAAGTCACGTTCATTCAAGATAAACTAAATACGGTAAACTTGACAATACCTCAAAACTTTGTAATGTTAAATACTTAGTCTTTCCGTGTACAAAATACACTGTAGGTAAACGATTATTCATCTGTCAAAATACGGTGACGAAACAAAAGCTTTATTTCAAAACTGCGTATCTACAATACATACAGTCTAAATCTAAAGTAACCTAATGATATTTTTGCATCAAACATGGAGTTTAAACTGTAAAGAAAATCAATTTTACTAACATGAATATTTTATTCTCCATAGCAACTCCTCTCCGCTTTGATAGGCTAGAACATGAAACACCATTCCGAGAGGAACTAAGGGTAATTCCCGTCAGAGAAGTCCGCTCCGATGCAGACTTCAGAGAACACACAAATTAGAAATCGGACACCCTTAGCGCTTGAAGACTTAAGCATATATGAAGGGCATAAAACCTTAAGTGTGCATGTTGGGACCCCGCCGTACACTGTTTTTCTCACCTTTCAAACTCAGTTAAGACTCTCAGTATCTTTATCATATCCTTTATTTAAGTCAAATTTACAACAAATTTGAAGAGTCGCTTGTTAATACACAATGATATTTTAGTAGTTTAATCTGAGTGAAATACTTTTCTTAAAAGTACAATGGATTTGACCTGACCCTCGGTGCTAAAATGCAAATGATTAATTGCTTTTCCACACTACAGAGTAATATAGTGTATAACTTCTATGGGTTAGGAATGTACCAACATACAATTATCTTAATAGTTATAGAAGAGCAACAATGCATTAAATGCTTGGGAGAACATTTTTTCTATTTTTCATGTGAAGAATACATCTAGAACAGTTCCTCTAATCCATTTCCTGGAAAGCCCTAATCTAAAAGATTTCATATGTAACCTCTAGATTAAGATTTGCTCAATTAAATTTGGAACAATCTAACAGTGATCAATTAAAATTAGATTTGGTAAGTGGAGTAATGTGGCACCAGAATACCTTTCAGTTCTGAAGAACTCTTAAGAGCGCTTTCATAATTTATCTGAACAAATTATTTGATTAGTTAACCATGAACCATGAGCGGTGTTCCTAAAGAGAAAAACAGTTGTCCGTGGGTGACATGTAAGGCTAACTGGATGGGAACTCTCTGGGACCAGGACTGAAGACCCTTAATTTAGAGCAAGGTTTCTGAAAACCAGGAATAATTAAAGTCTTTTAAAAAAAAGATTAGAAAGTTTTCCAATGATGCCTCAATTAGTAAAAGAACATAAGATTTCCAGGAGATCGGTGGTTCTGAAAACCAAAATTCAGAACGATGGTTTCAGGACCATGCAAATGAAGAGAATGCTTACAAAATATCATACGCCCTTATCAGTATTTAAAAAACCCAAATATTGTAAATGTATAGATTTAAATTATACCAAACACTTTGAATACCATTGGCTATTTTAAACAAGTGGCTTCAGAGGGTTCTCATTAAGCAACTAAGTGTTATCAGTGTTCTACTTATAGACTGCAAACAGCTGTGTCAGAAAATAATACATAAAAGGTCATAAACAGAAGAATGGTATCAAATATCTACCTGGGACAGTGAAAAATCAGTCAAGCAGTACCTTCTGGTGGAAACTGGATAGCCCAACCACCTGAGAACACGGCTTCTGCCATCATCTACACTTTAGCACTCATAACACATTTATGTAAGAAACAAGCTAATTTGGATATGTGACACTACAATATCTTGAAAGTATTCAAGGTTCAGGAACTGTAGCAGCCTGAGGAGCATGTCCTCATGTAGACAAAGGCACTGTAACTGAGCCGACATGTAACATATCTCCAAATTGGGAGCATTTAAAGAAAAATAATGAGACCAGGGTACCAAACTATAAGATACGATTAACCTATTGTGATATAGTATTTCCTCAACAGCTGAATACTTGGAGAAGTAGCCTGGTTGGTTAAAAGTGGTATACATTTGCATTATGAAAAAAGGTGTTGCTTCTCACTTCATATTTCAGCTGCAAAGTGGTGTGCCTTATCCTTCATGCAGTTTATAGATGCTTATCATTAATTCCAAGGCTTACTTAATTTTCATTTCCCTCCTATCATTTACCAGCCATTTTTCTTTCTCAACAGGGTACTGTACAATATTCAGTTATAATATTTACAATCATAGCTAATATTAAACAAATCGAGATCTACTGATGACCTGATCATTTGTTTCTTTAAGGCCTATCATAATACTAATGTATGAAAGCAAAAAGAACAACTCGAAACGATTATAAAAAGAATTTTATTAAAACAAAAATTAAAGCCACAGATCACGGACAGAGTTAAATTGCTAGGATATTCCATTCCACCACGACATGGCCATTCCATGATCAGAACCATTTTTCATATTAAGAAAAGCTGAGTCGTTTTACATTAAATGACGTTTGAAAATTTACACTGGGTCACAAAAATAAATGTGCACTGGGGGGCCTCTCCTTCCTAATATACAATTCAAGAACTGTAACAGGAACACAGCTTTGGGGGATTCGACACAGGAAACCTTTACAAGCCACAAATATTCCAAACTGCACAAATGTGTCATATAGTCAAGTTGGGTCAAAATGACTATACTTTATGTGTCTGTTTAGTGTTAAAACACAACAGACCTTCCAATGTTCTCTTTCTTTTCCTTCACTTATCTGCACTAAATGCACCCTAAACTGATCGCGTTGGCCCAGGCACTTTAAAAGAGTGCAGGTCAGCCCTGTCAATCTATATGTTACTCCATTTCATACTGAGGTTTTTCTTTATTTAAATTAAGCTGGTTTTTTTAAACAGTTTATCAATTTAAAGCCACACATACTACAATTTTAGGTATGGCACTGCCATAAAAAAGGTAAAACTGCTCTTGATCACTTTAGTTGTAGATTCACAAGTGCAATTCCTTCATTAGGAACCCTCATATTTTAACTTCTGAGAAATAACAAAAGGGATACTACATCATTAAGCAAACTTTTTATATTGGAATTTCTATATTTCTATTACTTTTCAAATATTAACCCAAAACAGCTTTAGCATTAAAGTTACTCGCCTTTATTTCAACATAACCGTGTCTCAGAGTCACTGGAATCTTCTGTCTTGATAACTGATGTCTTGATGCTATGAACTCTACTTCCAGGACTGAAGCCAAAAGTGATTTGGGATACTTTTTCTTAAAAAAATCCAATACACTCATTTCTTAATACATTTGATCTGCCACATTAAAAAATGAGGTACAATTTATAGCTGCTGCTTAAAAGGTTAAGGAAAACACTTATTCAAGTTCCCACAATACAGGCACTAGATTTTATGCTGGAATCTGCGGTCACCTAGATTTTGCTCTATGGTCTTGACAGAGTTTTATAAGAATTGCAGTGTTTTAAATAAGAGACCATAGTTAACTTTAGCAAGACATCCATGCATAATGATATCATAGCAAAGTTACCCAACACCAAGCTATGTTAACAGGACTAACTGTGCCAAATCATTTACTCAAAATGCCATATTTGAAATAGCAAGATTCTCTCAACTAATCTGGGAGTTTTCAAATGTCTGAAATTATAGGTTACAAGCAAACTAGATTTACAAGAAACATCCTGGATATCTTCCACTCATCTGTAAATGTGAAAATCCTACTCTTATGTTGTGTGGACCTAGTGAAAACACTAGCATGTCTTGTTTCATTGTGAAATGGGAATAATGAAACCTGCCCAAGATTAGCAGTAACTGTCGAGCATAGAAAAATTAGAACTTTCACCTTTTATGTTCTACCATATAAAAAATTAAAACACCCTACCCAGTACAAAATGAAATTTAGTTAAAAAGGTGAACAAGGTGAAAATTGTTAGCATTTGCCAAACATCAGAAATGAACAGTTGAAACACAGCTTTAGATAACCCAGCTAAAGGTCCAGGGATAATTTGGGAACTCTATACAGATAGCTATACAGAGTATTGGCTATAAACAGTTATAAGCAGGTTCTGACTGAAGGTCAAGTACAGGGACTTTTTACACAAACGGTAGTCAAACTTTCTACAAAGTTCTGTTATATAGCAGTAGAAAACCCTGAGTCATTTACTGTGAGGCAGTCAAATTCTAGACTGGTTGCAGCCTTGTTAAGCATCACGGAATTCAATAAATGGAAATCATACAAAATGTATTAAACTACAGAAAAAGTTTTAAATACATCAGACTGTCTCGAATCACATGTCTGAGGGTCAGGAATGAATAATCAAGATTACCTTTATAGCTCTCATGTCAACATAAATGTTATGGAAAATGTCTGCAGCAAAAGATTTTTTTTTAACCTGCTGAGGTTTAATTCTGCATGTAACAGAACTGAAACACTTTAGTTATAGAATCAGACATATTAGATCCCAATGAATGTGTAAAAAGTCTAAATATTTTAGACTTGATACTTCCTTAGACCAGCACTCTATCAAAAGACCAGAGCATTAATGTACATAGACATACTTAAACTGAAATGGACACCTGACCAAGGGCTGATAAGGAGCTTACGGCAAATGTTTTAACTACTATCCCAAAAATTAAGTTTTGGCCATGTGGACACTTGTTGTTCATCTGGGCACACAGCAGGTAGTGCACACACACAAAAGAGCGGTCATGTAATAAAATGTACAACGCTTTCTGATAGAAAGGAACAAGAGAACAAAAATGGAAGAAATAACCACCTTTTCACATTCTTGCTTTTAAAAATCAGCCCCCTCAATGGACTCTTAAAGAAGGGGAAGAAAAATGTCTGTTGGTTTGAAGAGTGCACGGAAAGAAAGATAACCAAAAATGAGTTCTTATCCCCCTTCGGTGATTTATTTCATTATTCCAAACTTCTTTGCTTCGGTTTCATAGATCAATAATCTCCACATTTTAACAATGAAGACTTCGGCTTCCTCATCAAGTACCTATGGACATAGGAGCACATTAAGAAGTAATTTAAAATTAAAAATTAAAAAGTATATGCAAGTATAAACGTAACAAGAAGCAACATGTGATGAATAGTAAAAATTACAAAGTATGTTTTAGGACACTTATTGGTATATCCCTAAAGCTAAAGATTATTAATTTTCAACATTTAAAATGAATACTTAGCAACACTCACCATAGCAACATCATCTAAAATGCCCTGTGGTGTACTGTGGGCCATGACCTGAAAAGGAAAGTATAAATCCAGACTGTGAAAGTATAAAAGCATAAGGACGCTAAATTCTAAAAAGATACAGATCCAGCTATTTAAAAAGCGCGAAGAACACTGCATTAAAACGCGGCACGCATGGCGCAAATTAAATTATGATAATAGTATCCGGCAGCACCTTGTAAGACCTTGTAAAACCACTAGGTGGAGCTAATAAATCTTAACGTCTCAAATGTCACCAGAAAACGTCAGCTTAGAATCACTGCTGAAGGACAATCTTTTTCCAACTAAGAATTTAAATTGTATACTCTTTAGACTTTTAATAATTTTAAACTGTGTATTAGAGCATGTTAAACACTAAAAACTATATATGTTTATGCTTTGTGCATGATACGCGTATGCGCACAAAATACTACGCGAGTGTGCGTGCGTGTTGCTAACGTGGTGTTGTTTACACACACGGTGGTGGCTGATAGGATTGTAGTTAGAGTGGAGAAATGAGCAACACTGAAGCAAATGTAGTGCTGCCAACGACCAGCTCGAAGGACGATGACATCGTCGACAGAAAAGGTCATTCAACTTCGGTAATTTGGAGATATTTTGACTTTTTACGATCAGACATAAAACAGAGCACTTTAAACTTTGCAGTCTGTCTGAGCCATCTTCTATGTGTGTTTTATCACAACGCACTATTTAATTTTTCTATTAAGATATTTTGTAAATTTTACTCATGCATATTTTGACATTAAAAAGACTTGAATACTCTTTACCTCAGATTAGTTTAATGTTTCTGCTGTTTGGCAAGTGTTTGTTGTGTTCTTAAAATAAAGAGTTGTTTAATTTACTAATTAACTGTCTGGTTTCTTCAACTTTCACTCAGGAGAAGAAAATCTGCCTTTAAACTAAGAAATAATGATTTGACATTTATCGTGATAGTTGTCATATCGACTGATAAGGACATTTTTATCATGATATGTTTTTGGCCATATCGCCCAGCCCTAGTTGCAACACAAAAAACTTTTTTCATTGACAAAAAGTAACACTTCACTCTTGTTTAAATGGATTGCTTTGTTGCTGCACAGACTGTTAAACCAAGAAAAAGAGCGCCTCTTTAAAGCATTTCATTGATCCAATCACGTATTTGTTTCCAATCATACAAAGTAAGTTTTGAGAATCTCCAATCCACCATGCCTCTAATGGTTTCCCAGAGATTGCTCATAAAATATATATTTTAGGAACATAAAATGTTATTGGTAATTTAAGTAAAAAATACACACCAGTATTTCACTTTCTTCCTAAACATTTTAAGCATCCAAGTCTTTCATTCGGTTAAATACTGTGGTTATTTTGGAAAGGTTTTTACGTGCTCCTTCTATCTTAAGTTTATATAGTTTGTAAAAAGTTTTTAACTTTTTCTATGAATAAGCTCGTTATTACAGTTAACAAAAGCATCTTAAGAATTTGATTAACAGAGAATATAATACGGAATCGCATATCTAAAGTAATGTATAACGATATAATTATATTCTTATACTGTAGCTCAAATTATCACATTAGTACACTTTCTTTGTGCTTGTAAGGTGACGTTCTGCTATCTAAACAGTTTTTTACAGCTTTTAAAGTCAAGCAATGTTCCTGTCTAACTCAAACATCTCATTGTATCTTATTTCTTTTTTTTAAATAAATAAGGTAACCAGCAATCATATATCCTGTTTTTTCTTAACACTTGTTTTTCCAAACTGTAGCTTGAATCTGTGTTAACTAAGTTCTTTTTACCTCTTAAACATTTGAAAAACTAATTATGTCAACACAACATGCATTCTGTATATAAAATCATGTTTTCGACAAGTGTTAAGCAGATTAGCAGGTTGCTGACAAAATAGCGCACCAGTCACCACTTCACCATGTTAACAGTTAAAATGAATTTAGAAATGACTCATTTCAAGATTTTCAGAATAATTATAAATCTAGCAGGATAGAGAAAGTACAGAAAATAGGTAGTTAGATTGATCAGATTAGTATGCAAAGCCATTTAGCAAAGAGGGTGTGAAAAAAGCGTCAAACTTGTATACTTTATATCTTTTTTCTGAACCAGGGAAAATCTAATCATGTTTCTCTATAACTAAAAATCTTTATTTTATATAGCACCTTTAAAAGTAGCACTTCAAAGCAATACAGTAGGGATAAAAACAGTTATAAGGACCAAAGATTAAGAAGTTAATACATATAAGAAAGACGAGCAGATAGAAGTGCTACCAAAGTTTGAAAATGAAGCAGAGACAGACACTAAATAAGTCAGGTGGGTAGCAGCGTCAGCATGCATAGTCTGCAAAGAAACAAGTAATAGGTTTATTCCATGCTGAAAAGAGAAGAGAGAAAACAAAGTTGTATTGAAAGAAAGGTTTTGAGGTTAGATTTAAATGCACTCAGGGTGGGTGACTGATATCACTGGGGATACAAATCCAGAGCTCTGGGGTGCAGCTAGAGAAGTTCCTGTCACCCATAGAATGTCGATGTTCTTAAGGACAGCCAGAAGACCAGACAGACAAATGTTGCAAGGTGGGAAGTAGACAGATAAGCCAGATAGGTACTGAATGAAGATGAGGATTTTGAAGCTGACTCGAAACCTGATAGGAAGCCAGTGCAAGGACTTGAAGACAGGCGTAATGCAACCCGATCAGGATTCTGGCTGTCAAATTCTGAACATATTGGAGATTGCTCAGTGTGGATTTAATTAACCCAGTGAACACGATGTGCATTTATTAATTCTAGGAATAGTTGAGGAAAACGCAAGACTCAAGGCAGAATACACCCTGGACATAGCGCCAGTCCATCACAGGACAAACAGACAGATAGACACACACCAGGGCCAGTTTTCCCGTAAGCCCATTAATCTACCAATATGTTTTGGACTGCAAGAGGAAATCATATTTCACACATGGAGTAAACCCACAGACCCCAGAGAACATGCAAACTCCACACACACAGGACAGCTGGAATTGAACCTAGGGCCCCAGTGCTGCAAGACAGCAACACTAACCACTTCACCACCATTAGAAATGGATGGATAGCTTAGTTATCTTTCTAGTTCACAGGTTTGCATGCATAATTTAATTTTGAAAGCCACCGAGACATCTGGTTACCATTGCTGTATTTATGAAAAAACATGCAAAAAGCATACTAAAACTGTGCCATCCAATTCCTTAGTTAATATATTGAATTTATTAACAGTTAACATTGTTAGCAAAATATTTTGAATTATATTTTACCCTACTTTTTATTTAATTTTGTATTTAACTTATTTTCTGATAGCCAGATTTAATGTATATTTGAACAATGAAAACATTTTTACAAGATGCTGGGAAAAGTGCAACAATTTATTAGTGCTTAATTTAATATTATTGATTACTAATAGTAAAAAACTTACAGCGTATACAAAGGTTCTAAGCTGATCCCAAGGATGAAAAAGCACCTCTTTCGCACATAAAAAGATTAACTTGGTGGATGGTGTGCTATTTTGTCAGCAACCTGCTAATCTGCTTAACACCTGTAGAAAACAAGATTTTATTTCTGTATGGAATGCGTGTTGCGTTTACAAAATTTAAGTGTTTCAAATGTTTAGTTAAGAAGTAAAATGAACTTACAGCTTACACAGACTCAAACTACAGTATGGAGAAACTAGTGTAAAAAAACAGAACATTTGATTGCTGGTTACCCTATATTTAAAAAAATGAAATAAAAATAAGATACAATGACGTGTTCCTGCCTAACTCAAACATAGCATGACTTTAAAAGCTGTAGAAAATGGTTTACATAGTAGAAAGTCACCTTGCTCTTACAAGTAGCTGTTAAGCATACTGTGGTGGTCCTGACTCTGTGGTCATTAAAAATCCCAGGGCGTTCCTCAAAAAGAGTAGGGGTGTAACCCCAGCACCCTGGCCAAAATTCCCATTGGCCCTTACCAATCACAGCCTCCTAATAATCCCCATCTATGAATTGGCTTCATTACACTGTCCTCTTCCCCACTGATAGGTGGTGGCTGCCGTTGCATCATCCAAGTGGATGCTGCACATTGGTGGTGGTGGAGGGGAGTCCCCATTACCTGTAAAGTGCTTTTAAGTGGAGTTTCCAGAAAAGCACTATATAAGCGTAAGCACTTATTATTTTGTGAACACAACTTTGTCAGTGGGAAAAAAAATGAAGCACCAAAGAAAGTGTACTTCTGTGATAATTTGAACTACAGTATATGAATACAATTATACCGTTACCAATTTCTTTAGATATGCAATTCCATATTATTTTCCCTTCTAATCAAATGCTGAAAAGTATGCATTTTTTACTGCAATGAGCGAAAGTATTTGCAGAAAAGGTTAAAACTTATAACTTTTTACAAAGTATATAAACTTAATATAGTCAGAAGGAGCACGGGAAAACTTTTCCAAAATAACCACAGTATGTAACTGAATAAAAGACTTTTTGATGCTTAAACTGTTTAGGCAGAAAGTGGTATACTAGTGTGTATTTTTTATTTAAACTACCAATAGCAGCCATATACAGTTTACATAATATGTTTATGTTCCTAAATTAATATCGTTTATGACCTTCAGACAGCTCCTCTTCTTTTTATGGTCGGCTACGAGAATTTCCCTTTAGTTGTAAAATTCCATATATATATATTTAATACTAGGCGGATTAAAACATGCACAGTAAAGAGATTAAATTATTACATTGTTTCACTAATAACTAATTCACCACGAGTGCCCACATCGGTCATTTTGGCCAGCCAAATCACGTACCCCAGTACACCGCAGTGAACTGTGGGTAATTTCACACGGTATGAGGGTGTACTGTGCATTTTGAATGGCTGCATCTGTACAAAAATTTTATACAGTTACAATTTCAAGAAAATTCTCAGAAAAACAATTTGCAATTTCATTTCTCTTTAAAAGCTCTACTATGATGTATCTTGTTTTCACTTTTACCCGCATGGCCAACTACTGTATGTGGAACATATAATTGCTGCCACTGCCTGCAATCCACAAGAGTGTGGGCCAAAGCTTCACAGCTTGCTTATTATCTGACTAAGTAACAACCTAAAGTTCTCTATTTTGATCAACCACATATATTCAAGCCTTACGAATATAGATTACAGCTATATCCCATTAATTGAACTAATGCAAACCATTCATAGCTGACTGAGAAATATTTTTCTATTGTTTCTGAAGAGATGAATGCACAAGTTGCAGACTGACCTTTGAGCAAACAAAATCCACTAGAGTCGCCTCCTCCTCACCAATGTACTCTATGATCTTCTTATTGATCCAGGGCCTGATTCGTCGCTCCATCAGTGTCTGCAGGGAAATTATATTAATCCGGTTAACAGGTCTGATGTAAAACATTTTCATTCATCTTATACTTCTCAGTGGTTGTTTTCCATAGTTGTAAACCAGGTGTAGGATAACACTAATGGTAGCATGATCAAGAAACAACAGCTCTCAATAGATGGCAACTAAACAATTTAGTATTCTCAAACCTCAGCAAAACTTTGGTATATAGTATTTTCACTTTACAGTCTTAGAAAATGATAAAGTGTACATTACAAAGGATAAAATGTAGGTATCGCAATGTATAGTACTTTAAAATTAGATCTGCAACATAATTAGTCAAGGAAAGGCACACTTGAATGGAAAATTCAAAATATATACATATATATACACATTTTTTAACCTGCTTGTGAATAAGATACCCATCATCTTTGTAATGGCATTTTTGTACAGGATTTCAACATGCCAACAACAGTCAAACACCTGCCATCAAATGCCAGCTATCAGATGGGCTAAAGCTCTTACATAACACAGGCCTTATTTTGAGTGTCCTGTGGGAATTCTCACCGTGTCTACAATGGACCAATCCAGGGGGTAGGAAAAGAGCTCTGACTTGGCTGTTGGGATCTTCTCAATGAGGCTCTTGATGTTCTTACGCTTCTCCTCCGAGTTGACGTTACCCTTGTCAGCTCCCTTCTCATCTTCCCCATAGTCCAGGGGCACCAGTTTTCTCTTGCGTGGCAACTCGTCACTCTCTTCATCATCAAACTTGTTGAACACACTGTCAACGGCCAGTTTCTTTCTCTTTCCTGCATTGGGCTGACCAGGGCTAGCTGAGGACCCTAAATAGAACACATTAATCAGTTAAGGAAACATTTTATGTAAAACTTCAAAGTTAACCCTTAACGTGCTATTAAGACATTATTCATTAATGAGAGAACATAAGCAAGATGACAAAACCGATGATACTGCAATGATTAATGTACAATAAAAAAGTAAAATATCCCCAAAAGGACTTACATTTCTTTAAAATGTAAATTATACATAAAGGACTTTTATTGTTAGTGAAATGGTGTTGTTAAAGTAAAAACAAATTTTGGAGTTTCCATCTTTAAGGATTACATCATTTTTAAATGACCTACCTGAGAATGAATTATGTATTGTATTCTATTGAAAATACTTAAGATGCAAGACATATAAACTAAGAAGCAACTAAAGCCGTCTATGTGAAAATTAGTGCCACCAAACCACATAACGGCACAATCTGGGCTTCTGTGTGCATTTTTGTCGTGTTTTAGTTCTTGTACGAATTTAAAATTTGTGATATAAACTAAGTCTCTAGGAAGAGAAGCAGAAGTCATAATGGAATGCCAGCACTACTCTAATGTGTCCTGAATTAGGTTATGGGCCCACCCTTCAGACAGAGGTTTACATAATTGAGCTAGTTTATTTTGTCTCTAAATTGTCCTCGCCTGCCTCCTATCACAGACAAGCATCCCATCCGGGATATAGTCCTATCTTGGCACTATGCTTTTTGGATAGACTACATGTTGTCATGTTACCAGGAAAAAGCAACTGTCTAATAATGGATGGACTAATAGTATCTCCAAGCCAAGCACATTAAAGTCTCTTAAATCCTTAGAAGTTTTATACCACCAATACTTTTTTCAAAATTTGCAAAGTATTACTTTAGTAATGTGGAGGTTTTTAGCCAAATAATTTTACATTTGATGGAATTAGTAACAGGGAAAAGACTTATTTGAAAAAATTCAATCATAACTTAAAGTTCAGGTAGTCCTATATGCTTGAAAATGAAACGAGCACAGTGAATCATTATGTAAAAGTCTTCCACATCCACTTAAGCAAATGATTTGAATAAGATCATTCGGTCTTTACGGGTGGAGTGGTGGCACTGTGGCTAAGGATCTGCGCCTGGGGCTGGAAGGTTGCAGGTTCAAATTCCGCAGCCAGCAGAGGAATCCCACTCCGTTGGGCCCCTGAGCAAGGCCCTTAAACCCAACTGCTCCAGGGGCGCTGTACAATGGCTGACCCTGCACTCTGACCCCAAGATTCTCTCCCTGTCTGTGTCTGTGTCTCATGGAGAGCAAGCTGGGGTATGCAGAAAGATGAATTCCTAATGCAAGAAGTTGTATATGGCTAATAAAGTGATCTCTCATGCCTGGATCCCTCGTCCAGAATTTAAAAATGAACAGAATGTGCAGAACCAACTGCATTAATCATCTTGAAAAGCACATGAAGAGTAGCTAAACTGAAACTTACCGAGTTTGAGGCTGAGTCCTATTCTCGGCCGCAGCTCCTCCTGTGGGACAGCCTCTGGTGAATTCTCATGGGGAATGATGATGCCACAGGGTGACTCATCCCCAGGCGTGTTGGGGGAGGCATTGCCGCTGGCAGAGGAAACAGAAGGGGCAGAGCTGATTGGCCTAAGCGTGGGCTTGAGGCAGGGTTTGGACTCAGGAGGCTCATCCTCTTCCTCCTCCTCCTCCTCTTCTTCACCTTCCTCTACTTCATCCTCGGACTGGGGCTCCGGCTCCACACCTTCCCTTCTCTCTTCCTTCTGGGTCTTTTCCTCCTCCACATCTTCTTCTGACTCAGGCTCCTGCTTTACAGGGGGCTGTCTGCGTCTCTCTGCCTCCTGCTCCATCTGCCCCACAGACACAACACCATCAACCCTAGGCACAGTGACTGTAATAATCCTAAACACACAGACATTGTCATCAAGCACACCAACACTATATAGTTATATAGTATGTACATCAACCATGAAAATGCCAATATTGGTCCTTACACACAACAATCAAACAGCATGACATTGCCTAAGACACAAACCATGTTGCTAGAGGGACACAGATGATGCAAAAATAGAAATTAGCTAGCAGAAAGAGTTTTACTGCTTAGTGCTTAAACATTTTTTGTCCACGATTGTTGGGGATTATTTTTAGTTTGCAGCAAATCTACATAACACTAAGTTAAAGAAACTAAATATATTCAGTCAAGAACAAAGAAGTTACCATATATCTACTTGTCTTTCTATCCAAAAACAATTTAATAAGCCCTTTCTGTAATCCAGGCATGCTAATGTAAATAGCATTTCATTAAGATATTTTTACATGAAAATAATGCCTACAACAACAAAAAAACATAACATTAAGAATACTGCAGTAAAGTATTTGACCCACACTTTGCATAGTCATTGGTCAAAACGTAGGGTCATAAACAGTGCCTTGCGAAAGTATTCGGCCCCCTTGAACTTTTCAACCTTTTGCCACATTTCAGGCTTCAAACATAAAGATATAAATTTTTTATTTTATGTGAAGAAT